GTCTCCTAAAGGGACTGAAGTGATGGTAGAAGCTGAAGTCTCCATTCTTGATATAAATTTTTTTAATCAAAGTGTTCAGCTTCTTGCAGTCTGTGATGGCCTAAACTTAAACACCTATGATAATTAGCAGTGCTCGACAAACCGCTGTTTCTACTTGTCCGTGTCGAGTAGATTTCAGCCGGTCACTCCGTTCACCGGCACTACACGCAGATTACTGCTTTTAACTGGGAGAGGTGTGAGATATAAGGATAACTGAATGCTTCTCAATGTCTCTCATGGTTTAAGAGAGTTTAATAGAAGGGATGTGGAAGAACTTGGTGTCGATGGAGCACTCCATAGAACTCCACTGCCAGTCTGAAGAATGGAAATCTACCCAGCTGAAGCTGATTGGCTCTAGTCACGTAAGTAGAATATCCTCATCAGCCATATTTCTGGAAAGATGTAGGTACAAATGCAGATGTGCTGTTTATTTCGTCAAAGGACATTTCCACACTTTTCCTTACTTGACACCTTCATTGAGGGTAAAAATTGAAGAAACTCTTCCCATTGCAGTAGGTTTCTAGTTTTTGGATTTCATTTGAATGGGCAACTGTATTTCCCCTAATGTCTCGGGAGGATGCAGAGGAGTGGTTATACTCACCTTAGCTATGGATAGGAGATCGCTCCCTTAGATTTTGTTTGTTCATCCTTTTCCCTAATTGGATCTTGTTGATGGTCATCACTTCTTCCCTGTTATTTCAACACATATCAGATGAGGAAGAACTTTTTCTATTTTTCTGGCTCAGGGTCATGCTCCAACATAGTTATTCATCTTCGAAGAGAAATGAAACATGCTGAGTACAAAGACCAGGTAATATACATTGGCTTCTTACCCTGCGTCTTTACATTTTCTGGCCAATTAAAATGGCTTTTTTTTTGTGGTCCTTTTACAGTTGATATTCTCAATCTCCATTAGGGGACCTATTTCTTTTCCTAGTTCAGAAAAATTACCTGTAGTTGGATCCTTGGTCTCTCCTCATCCGCAGAAATACAAATGAGAGTGTAATGCATGGAGATAATTTTCAAAGTATCCACATCCCGAGAAGACGGGAAGTCAAGTAGCAAGCCAGATTCTGTACCATGTGACTCACTCACCCATATCTGCACCTGGAACACCATCCTTGAGTTTTATTTCTTCTTTTTAAAGAGTGAATTGATCTAAAATAGATTTGGGAAAAAAACCAGGTGCAGTAGTAATGATTTTTTAATTAGCCCTTGAAAATACCTGTTCAACAAGAAATGTCCCATTTGCCAACTTATCACTACTGAAGAGGACTACCTCACTTTTGAGACGGTGTCGCCAGAAGTTCTGGCTGATGAGCAAGATATAGGAAGATACAGAGAGACTATCAAAAGATGTGGCAGTGCTTCTTTTTTACAGCCCTGAAGGTGGTCTCCTTATAGATTCACAGCACTGTTTAGCCTTTGGCTTTGTTCACTGTCATGAAATTGTGAGGGAGAAGACCCCACTCAAGGAACAAAACCCAGAAAATATGGTTCACTGAGGAAGATTTTGCTTGCTGCTGATGCACAAAGCAAAAACGTTAAAAGTGAGAATGCTAATAAGGTAAGAGCACTGAACTTCAGTTGTTTGCATTGCAGGATGCAAAGAATCTATCATATAGGCAGAAATACTGGAATCAAGCCTTAGAGGTCTCAGACAAATCTGAACTATCTCTGGTATTTACACAAAAAGAAGCACAACCTATCTCCAACAGTGGGATGAAGGAAGGAAGGAAGGAAGGAAGCAAAAAGGAGGAAATAAAAAGGACATGGTCCTATAATATCTCTCTTGTTGACTTAAGGAACGGTCAGACAACTAGGAGCCTGATTCTAGCCAAGATTCCTTAAAAATTCTAGCTCTGTCAGATGCAGACAAGAACCTGCTGCCATATTAATAATTTCTAAGCAATTCTATTTCTCTGCATCATCCAAGTTTTGTGTAGGAGTTTTTGAAAGTCAGCTCTCTGTTCCTCCATCACATACTGAACAGATTTTAAAATAAAAAGTTTGGAATATATGGACTAATAGTGCAATTTAAAACAAAAAAGTTTTAATAAGTTAATACATTTTTGTTCATTCAACTGGTAATCTGCAGAAGTTATTAGGCCATTATAGTTATTTAATATAAGTTTACTTTTAAAAAAAATGTTGCTTAGTCTATGTTGCTTTAAAAGTAGTATTTATTTAGTGGTCTACAGACAGACTTGGAAATTCACAAGAACTGTAAGACAATATAATGTTATCTTCTATTAAATCATAAAGCAGTACAGATAATCAGCAATATAGCCATACACTCCCATATGTTGAGCATTCCAAAGAGAGGTGGCTAGTGTTCTCCCACACATGCAATTACTACAATACCTTTTAAGCATGATTAAAGCATGCCACAAAACAATTACTATAGGAACACATGAAGCTTTCTTAAGAGTCTGTTTTGGGGTAAATGATTGGGGGGGAGGGAGAAGAGACGCAAATTTTGCCTTTGCCCCGGGCACATAACACCCTCGCTTTTCCACTGCTCTGCGGGAGGGAGAGCGCATTGGGTTAGAGCAGGGAGGCTGGGGGTGCCTGGCTTTGGGGGAGGGGTACATGGTTCTTTGCACTACTATCCACAGCTATTTTGGCTCTTAAGTGTCTAACTGGTTGGCCACCCGTGGTGTAGAGAAACATGGAAATGGATCCTTACAAGATTAAGGCTCCCTTTAAAGAGGCTTTTCTGCAAAAATTTTGTAGGTGTTCATTATTATGGAAAAAAGTAATCCTTGAAGCCAGGATGACACCTCCTTTCATCTTATGTAGAAGTATTACACTCTCATTAGGAATTTATCTGATTCCCTTCTCATTCTATTCTCACATGATCCTTCCCCTGTTACACACCTCCAGAGAAACAAAGGCTAGGGACACCATTCCTACCCATCCTGGCTAACAGCCACTGATGGGCCTAACCTCCATGAATCTAATTCTTTTTTGAACCCTGTTAAAGTCTTAGCCTTCACCACATCCTCTGGCAAGGAGTTCCACAGATGGACTGTGGGCTGAGTGAAGAAAAACTTCCTTTTATTTGTTTTAAACTGGCTATAAATTTCATTTGGCGACCCCTAGCTCTTATATTGTGGGAATAAATAAATAACTTCTCCTTATTCACTTTTCCCACACCAGTCATGATTTTATAGACCTCTATCATATTCCCCCTTTAGTCACCTCTTTTTTAGCTGAAAAGTCCAAGTATTTTAATCTCTTCATATGGGACCCGTTCCAAACCCCTAATCATTTCTGTTGCCCTTTTCTGAACCTTTTCAAATATCAATATATCTTTTTTGAGATGAGGCAACCACGTCTGTACGCAGTATTCAAGATGTGGGTGTGGCATGGTTTTATAGAGGCAATAAGATATTCTCTGTCTTATTCTCTATCCCTTTTTTAATTATTCTATTTGCCTTTTTGACTGTCACTGCACATTGAGTGAATGTTTTCAGAGAATATCCACGACTCCAAGATCTCTCTCGAGTAGTTGTAGCTAAATTAATCCCCATCATATTGTATGTATAGTGGGGATTATTTTTCCAATGTGCATTACTTCACATTTATCAACATGAAATTTAATTTGCCATTTTGTTGCCCAAACTAAATCATTTAGTTTGGTGAGATCTTTTTGAAGCTATTCACAGTTTGCTTTGGTCTTAACTATCTTGAGCAGTTTAATATGATCTGCAAATTTTACAGCTATTCACTGTTTACCCCTTTCTCCAGATCATATTTATAAATAAGTTGAATAGGATGAGTCTCAGACTCTTGGGGGAACCACACTAGTTACCTCTCCCCACTCGGAAAACTTACCATTTATTTCTACCCTTTGTTTCCTGTCTTTTAACCGGTTATCAATCCATGAAAGGACCTTTCCTCTTATTCCATGGCACCTTACTGTACTTGAGTCTTTGGTGACAGATCTTGTCAAAAGCTTTCTGGAAATCTAAGTAGATCTGCAAATTTTACAGCTATTCACTGTTTACCCCTTTCTCCAGATCATATTTATAAATAAGTTGAATAGGATGAGTCTCAGACTCTTGGGGGAACCACACTAGTTACCTCTCCCCACTCGGAAAACTTACCATTTATTTCTACCCTTTGTTTCCTGTCTTTTAACCGGTTATCAATCCATGAAAGGACCTTTCCTCTTATTCCATGGCACCTTACTGTACTTGAGTCTTTGGTGACAGATCTTGTCAAAAGCTTTCTGGAAATCTAAGTATACTATATCCACTGTATCCCCCTTGTCCACATTTTTTTGGCCCCCTTAAAGAATTCTAGTAGATTAGTAAGGCATGATTTCCCTTTACAGAAACCATGTTGACTTTTCCCCAACAAATTATGTTCATCCATGTGTCTGACAATTTTATTCTTTACTATAGTTTCAACTAATTTGCCCAATACTGATGTTAGACTTACCAGTCTGTAACTGCCAGGATCACCTTTAGAGCCTTTTTTAAATACTGGTGTCACGTTAGCTATCTTCTAGTCATTAGGTACAGAAGCGGATTTAAAGAATAGGTTACAAACCACGGTTAATAGTTCTGCAATTTCCCATTTGAGTTCAGAATTCTTGGGTGAATGCCATCTGGTCCCATTGACTTGTTACCATTAAGTTTATCAATTTGTTCCAAAACCTCCTCTGACAACACCTCAATCTAGGACAATTTCTCAGATTTGTCACCTAAAAAGAATGGCTCAGATTTGGGAATCTCCCCAATATCCTCAGCCATGAAGACTGAAGCAAAGAATTCATTTAGCTTCTCTGCAATGACTATCATCTTTGAGTGCTCCTTTAGCATCTCGATCATCCAAGGGCCCCACTGGTTGGTTAGCCAGCTTCCTGCATCTGATGTACTTAAACATTTTGCTATTACTTTGCAACAACATTCAATTTGATTGCCCAGAACACCTGATGGAAGCACACATACCTTCCTTTTGCCCACAGACTCCCAAGGAGAGACATCACTCCATGAAGTGTTGCAAAAATATTTTTCTCCTGGATCATAACCTTTAAGACTCTAAAAGAGAAGAAAAAAAATATGTACACACATATATATACATACACACAAAACAGGTTTTGTATATACAAAATATGTATTTAAAACACGGAAACATTCAAATGATAATCAACTGATTGAAAAAAAAGTCTAGGTTGCCAAAAGTCAATATTGTGAATCAGAAAGAAAGCAACTTCAAATTCAGAAAAATTAGGATCCAATAGTTCAAAATGATCTTACGTGCTCCTTATTAGGCTATTTAATATAAACAAAATATTTAAATAAGAGAATCCTAAGTGTTCAGAATGATTTGGGGCCTATTCTTTACTCCAATTGCTTCTGTGTAACTTCAGAAATCTCATCTCCACTCCTCTCCTTTTCTCTGTGACCTCATTTCCATCTCTTCAGCTCCAGAAGTCTTTTTGCAAAGGGACCTCAGTCTTTACACTCTTCAGTTCAGCATCTTTATCACTTTGTCTGCAAAGACTCTGCAGTCTGGAACTCTCTCCTTCAAGTAGTGAGAATATGTATTACTGTGTCTACAAACAACGTAACTCACTAGCAGGATGAAAGAGTATTGTAGCTGAGCTGAAGAACAACCTACATCATTTAAATGGATGTTTGGCATTGTTTCCCTGGGAATCCTCCACCCCAAAACTAATTCATCCCAGCCTCAAAGTTTACATTTGTCTTTTATTCATTACATCCATAGATGCAACTCTGTTCCTCTCCCCCTGCTACCATCCTCCATCTTATACCCTAACCTCTGCACACCAATCCTTTTACAGCTTCTGCCACATGGCCACTTTACTTTATATACCATAGACTTTGGCAGAGAGGAAGTTATGCACCAATCCTACATGCCAGTTTGACATTCAAAGAGCATAAGAAACTACTATTAGAATAAGTTAATATGGGCTTAAGCCCATGGCACTGTGTTTATCTTATGAAACACATTAAAGATAATTACTATGTCTTTAAAAAAAGGTCACATTCTGTTGGCAGTAAGGATGTTAAATTGCTGTTGATTTACTAATCAAGTAATCAATGGAATTTCCGTCGACTACTTGACTAGTAGGTAGGTACTTCTGCATTTCTCCTTTGAAATGTTCAAGAGCTCCCGCTGGAGCTCTTATATGTTTCAAAGAAGGAATGCGGAACACAGCATGCAGCCCGGGGCCAGCGGGAAGTCCTACCGATTACTGGCTGCACATTGGCATGCCAGCTTTGAAATGTACAAGAGTCCCCAGTGGGGGCTCTTGTGCATTTCAAAGCAGAAGCATACTCATGGAGCTCAGGCGATGTCCTTTGAAGTATCCCTTTTTCCTGCCTCTGTCTGATAGAGGGCAGCAAGGGGGCAGGGAAAATCGACTAGTTGAATGACTATCCGAAAAGCATTTGCTTATTGGATAGTCTACTAGACAACTAGTCTTAAACATCCTTAGTTGGCAGAGCATCCACTTCAGACTAGTGTTATTTTCTGCTTTGACATGGATGGCCACAGACATTTTTTTTACATACTTCTCCCCTTCTGTGATAAAGAAGGGCCCATCTCCAAGTTTTTTGTCTGCCTTTGTTTCAAGCAGTTGCTACTGAACTGGTTCTTCTAGGGCAGGGAATAGCAACCTATGGCACGCGTGCCACTTATGGGGCTGAGGGCTCCTCATCGGTGCCTTGGCTGGGACTGGAGGCGCTTCTGCCACGGCCACGCAATCCAGGGATGGCCCAGAATCACATGGCAGTGGCAGTGAGGTCCCAGGGGCTGGCCCCAGGCCATGTGGCAGCGGTGCCCATGGGGCCAGCCCCAAACCACCTGACCACAGCAGTGGGGCCTCCAGATCTGGCCCTGGACCACGTGGGCCCTGGCAGTAGCAGCAGGGACTCCCTTAGGGGTGGCCTGGGACAGCGGGGCCAGAGCTGTTGCTACAAGGGGGCACAAAGCTAGGTAAGATCTCCCCTCATGCCCAGACTCCCCCACACTCCAATCTCCTCACTCCCCTCAAGACTCTGCACCCCCAGCTTGCTCTGACAACCTCCCTTGTTCCTGCATCCTCCCTCCTGGTCAGACACTCCACCCTACTCCTGCACGTTCCCCACTGGCCTGGCTAGGCACCCCCCCAACCCTGCTCCCTTTCCTAGCCACACACTGCACCCACCCTTGCTCCTGCTCCCTCCACCTGGCCAGACACCCTACTCCCAGCATGCTTCTACACCCTCCCTCTCTCCCAGATCCTGCACCCCATCCCTATCCTACTTGCTGGCAGGCCTGTCTCACACACTGACACATTTTGTCCCTGCCTCTCAGTCTCAGAGGGTCCATAAAATCCACTAGCTCCAGAACCCCAGAAAAATAAGTCTGGTCTATGGGAAGCCCTGAACCTCAGTCCCTGCCCTTCCCTTCCCCCTCACCCCATGAAGCTGGGGCACCAGAGGAGTGAGGTGTCTCAGTTGGGGGGTGGGGGGCCCACATCAGTGAGGGCTGGGAGGGTTTGGAGGAGTATTTTTGCTTCTCTCGTGTGGTCCCCAACTGATTTTTTTGTGGGTCAGTGACCTTCCCCCGACCCAAAAATGGTTCCCCACCCCTGCCATAAAGAAAACATGAAAAACCTTTTATGTTGGACATAGTATTTTACTTTATTTAAAATGAAGTTTAATAAACTCACATGAGAAAGTTAAACGTTTAATCTTTTTCATAATTTAAACTAAACCGTTCTCCTTAATTGCAATTGGTTTAGAAAATATGGTGACCATACCCAGCCTGCCGTTGCTTCCCCTCCCCGCCCACTCACACACAGATCTGTGAATAAATTACATCTTGGTATGCCATTTCTGAAACGTTGCCAACCCTGTAATAAAAGGTAAGATCTGCATCTTTCTTTATTAATGAAGATGCTGTAAGTAGGACTATCATTGACTTTAAAGAGTATCACCGGCACCCGGGCCTGTACACAGAGGTGAATAAGTCAAATCTCAGCACTCCACCTCTGAAAAGTTGCTGACCCCTGTTCTAGAGTGAAGATTTTTTAACTGAAGATTTCAACATTGTCAGACACACAGAAAGCTAACGGTGTGTGCGGGGGGGAGGGGGGCAGTGGTCTGTTTTGCAGGCCGCAAGCCACTCCAATTGCCCTATAATTTAAAAGGAAAAGCAAAAGTCAGCTTTAGAATAATATCCTCAAAATTGCCACAGTAGAAGTTGCTTTTGCAAAGGACTGTCTTGTTAGCCAGGTCTCAGAAAGGGAAAACTGCAACAGATCATAAACATAAGAAATCCATATAGTGGCGATAATTCACAAGAACTGAAAAAAAGCAATTCAGACTCAAACTCAGAGATGTCTCCTACAATCTAGATGAGAAAGCTAAGATTTTCCCCCCTCATGTGAGCGGAGCTGCAAAATTTCTCAGGGAAATAATAGATAAAGATTCTAAACCAGCTCTTGCCCCTCCCTGTAGAAATGCTAAAGCTGATACTCAAACTAGGGATGTAAGCAACTAGTTGACTCTAATAAGCAAAAGCTTAAGAGTCAGTTCCCCCCAGCACCGTCTCCACAGGAGTCAGGGGAGTAGCAGGGACCAGGCGCAAGCCAGGAATCAGTTGATTCCCAACTCACGCCCAGTCCCAGACACTGTGACTCCTCTTTTTTAATTTGTTAAGAGCCTGTCAGCTCTTAATACATTTAAAAAAAAAAAATCAGAAGCTCAGCAGGGGGGACCCAGCACAAGCCAGCAGTCAGCTGTCCCGGCTCCCTACCAGCTTTTAATACATTTAAAAGGCAGAGCCGCAGCAGGGTTAGCTGCCGGACCGGGAGCTAACTCCACTGCGGCACTCCTGCTGGATCGACTATTCAATGAATTAATTAAACTATACTTAACATCCCTAATTCAAATGTCAACTGTTTCACATCAGAACCCAAAATCCCTGCAAACAGTATCTTAACATAAGACTTAGTAGTGAAGAGCATGAGAAATCCAATAGTCCCCCAGTTCTTTTCCTCCCAAAACTAAAATGGGTAAGAAAGTGGAAAAGCTTGTCAGACATTTATTGACCTAACATTTTGCCAGTTCAGTACATGTATTTGTGGAGTCTACAGTTATAAAAAGGGTCCAAGGAATGTCAGGTTGTCCTTGAATTTGTGCAACACTTTATGGTATTTACTTTCTACACTGATGCACCTCGTGCAAAAGCTCCCTTACTTACAAAAAGCAATTACCAAAAGGGCCTTAGACTCAAAAATCTTGAATGCTGACTTCTGCTTTAAGTTTTAGCATTTGTTGCAGATTCTAACATGTTGGAGAAGAGTTATAATAAGTTGCCAATACATCTAGGATGTCAAATTCTAGGAGCACTTAGAATACTATTGTTCAGAGTAGAATGATTTAAATTCAAGTGATCACATCATTAAAATAGATGATTTAAAAAATCAGAAAGCAGGAAATTTAAATGGTGAATTTTAATCTTGTTCTGCATTGGTACTTAAGATATTTTCCTAAAGCCAATCTGATTCTCACTGATTGATAACCATTATAACAGTAAATTGAAAATAAATATAGCCTTGACACCAAATTTGGCATTACTTCTTACTAGCCAGGAAGACAGAGTATCTTTAAATGCATTTATTTAAACAATTATGTACCTTAATTTTTCTCCTGTATCTTTACTAAGGTAGTTTTAATTGGAAATATTTTTAAAATGAATTCCAGTGTTCGCCCAAACAGAATCTGTGGCAAGTTAAGGGGTTTTTTTTAATCTAGGTGTATGAAAAATGCATCATTCAAAATGTATTGAACATAATAAATGAATGTGCAAAAATTTATCAAAATAGGTTTTGATCCTAGAACTAACAAATGTATTAATCAAAGAAAGTATTATCTGTAGTTAGTGAACTGCATGTATTATTTCTGGTCACCATGTCCCTCAAGATTTTAGAACTAGTAGATCTCATCCTCACACACTTTAATTTTTTCATAGATTTGAAGAGGCAAGCTTTCCTGCTTTTTCTATTCTCCATTGGTCCCTTAACTTTAGATGAATTAGCCATTGAAGTGAACAGTTGAATAAAGTGAAAGGAAGAAAATAGTCTCTCTGTATCCTATAGAAGAGGCTACTATTCTCAAAAACCTCTAGTTCCATGTGTTCAGCCAGTGACTTCACTTTGCTCAGCAGTTTCATTTTCTTTAAAACTTTGGTATAAGTATTGTTTACTCTAATAAAAATCATTAAATTAAAAACATACATATTAAGATTAGTCCTTAGCAAATGTTGTAAATTTCAAATTGAATTTTAAATAGATATAGAAAAATATTCAATTTACATTTAAAAAGGATTTTTTAAAATCATCCTTTTTAACCCACTCTGATACAGTTGCCCAGCAGATCCAACCATAAATCTGGAACAAAAGGCCTATATCTTTTTCCCAAAGGAGGGAGAGATAAACTAGTCCTTTTGGTCCTTTGATTGCAAAGGGAAGCTATCTTTCAGAAGTTCTCTGCCTTCAGAGCTTCTATGAATCTCACATCTATCTTTCAGAAGTTCTCTGCCTTCAGAGAAAAATGCCAATTATTAACCATGTTAGAAATAGTTTAGGCAGCAATGATCACTTCCTTTTTAAGAGGCCTGTTTCAGTTACCTCAGCATGGCAGGTTAGTTCTATAACATCATCACTGTAAGGATTATGGTTATTGGAATTTCCTCCTTCCCCAAAAGGAGAGGTGTACAAAAATTCACCTAGATATGGAGAAACTAAGCTGACTTCTCATCTATCAAATATCAACATTGGTTAGCAATTGCTAAAAAGTCTGTGCTACAATTGAAGAATACTGAACCCAAGTATAAAAGTCATCATCCCAGTTGATAAAGTTATTCCATAATCAACAAACAGCAGTACAGGTTGAACCTGTGTTAACTGGGATTCCAGTAGGACCACGGATGTTACAGGACCAGAGAGTCCAGTGGAGAGCAGGCGGCTGGACACCCTGCAGCTGGGCTGCCCAGCAAGCTTCAGCTGGACTGCGAGGTACAACCCATTGGGGCTGCTCAGTGTGGCCACAAGCCCAGAGAGTAGAGAGCTGGGCTGCCTGGAAGAGCAGGGAAGGGGGTGGAAGGACCAGCAGGGCAGAAAGGCCAGGAGGCTGGCGGCTGGTCCAGCGTTTGGGGGGAGAGGCAGTAACAGGGCCCAAATATGACCTCCCCTAGTCTCGCAAAATCCCTCATCTGGAACCGGTCAGGTCCTGAGTGTGCCAGACCAACTTCTAGTATATCTAGAAAGCCAAACTTCAGTAACTGAACTTGACAAGGGACTTTCAACTCCAGAAAAACACTGTGTCTGATAACTACATTTGCTGTCCCCTTTTTCTACCTCAACTCACTATCTTCCCCCATGATTACCATCCTTGCCAAAAGTGTAATTTATGCTTTAAAGAGGGTCTTAGTGCAATCAAAAGTTTACCTTGCAATACTGCAATAAATTTCCATATCAAGAAATTTATAATCAAACTAAGATTTGTACTTAAGGATCAAGACGTAAGCATTTAGAAATGAGAAAAGTTCTGGAAAATACATTATAAGCAATCAGAAGAGTGGGAATATGCAAAGTACTGGACAAATTCATAAGTGTTCTCTTTTGTCAAGTTTATTCAAATGCTGAAGCCCACAGACAAGAGTTAACTAGTATAATCACATCAAAACTTATGCACAATGATCCAAGGCACATTTATTTTGGACATTAAAAACTTGCACACAAATTCAAGTAGCAGTCACTGTAAAAACACAAGATTCCCCAGAAAATGATGTAAGTTCTTTCTTCTATGAATCTCACATCTATAGATATAATGCAAGTCCTCAGCTGGTGACAAAGTCATATAGATATACTGAATAAGCAATGAAGATCATATTTAGCAACTGGTCAAGTCAAGGCTACTACTTGGTAGTTTATTTAATTCTTGAAAAATAATAACATTTGCAGCTTTTTCATATTAAATTCTCTAATCTCTTGGTGCGGATTCTCCTTTCTTGTTGTACTCAAGTGTTTTCTACAGAAAATGACAGTCTCTGCTCAACATAATGACGTCACATTCATCTTCATAGCCTCAGTGCACTTGATGGACTATTTGAATTTGTGGAAATATAATACTGAATTGCCACAGAACAGTTTGATTTTTTTTCTCCCAAAGCCATCTTGAGTTAGGTTTCTAAATCCCTAGAAAGATTACTGTCTCTTTGCTTGGTTTATAAATGTTGACAGTTTGTACATCCTTTAAAGATTTCTTCTTGATATGTCAAAGCAGAGCAGTTAGTCCCTTTACATTTGCTCACATCTTCGTTTGTTCACGGTTTGTGGTTTGATTTGGAGGAGAGGGGTGGCTAGGGTTTGTTTGTTTGTTTTAAAGAATCCTATCCAGGAAAGTACTTATGTAATAAACATGCAACATTTCCTTAAGCAACAGTGCTTTCCTTTGATGCAACACTACCAACACAGAGTACACAGCACACTCCATTTCATGCTTTTCTAAAAATCAAAATGTTTCAGTAACTTATGTTGCAGGAAACTCCCAAATGCAGGCCTGTAACAGACTGACTATCTGAGTTTTGGCAAACATCCAAGTAAGAATATACTTCTTTCTTGGCCTCCCCCATTATAAATTTTAATACAGATGAGTAGTATATATACACTAAACTGTGAAAGACTTCAAAAGTTTAAAATTCAAGTTTCAGCAGTTTGTGTTACATCAATTCTTTACCTGCAATAACTCCCTGCAGCTGTCAAGCCCAATATCCACAAGAATGCCCTTCACCTTTTTTCGAGCCTTCCTGATATTATCAAGATTTTGAACAGGAATTTGAAACATTTTGCACTTTTCCTGAAAGAGAAAGACAAAAATAATGTGATGGAACATTTGTACATGCACACTTACGCTTTGTAGTGTTGTAACAATAATTTATATCATGGGAATGCTTCCCTCAAAAATGTACTTTCCAGCATGAAAAGCAAAAGACTGAACAAGGAACTGTTCTCCATTAGTGTATGATCTTTTGAGATCACTTCCTTATTCTAAAACAACCATGCCTGTTATTATGTTAACCCAAGATTTAAACAAAAAATTGAAATTCCTCCCACTCTGCCTGAAAAGTAGCCAAATTCTTTTCATTCCTGTTTGGTATTGTATTGTGTGCTTCAGCACAGGAACCTGAATACTTAAGCTGTGCTAACTTCTGACTAGATTTAAAAAATAGCCACCCCTTCACCTAGTGGAGATATACATGAAAGTGAAAATGTGATGCTACTTCTGCTTCCTTTTGGGAAATGAAGGGGGTATTTTGAGGGATACTTTTTTCCAGTGTATTTGCTCAGATATATTTTAAGTACAGCTACTGATAAAATTGGGCTTTCCTGCAACTGCTGCTGCCAACCAACACCTTTAAGGGGCATGGAACCAGACAATCTTTGCAGAGAATGCAATACAAGACTAATGCAGTTTTCTAACCTGCAAGACTCTACCACTTCAAAACCATGGTGGACAGCTGAAGCCACAAATGTAAGATGAATTTTTAAAATATCTTTGTAAATAATGGCATGGCTATGGTAGTGCTTCTCAGCAGATGTACGTTCACATTTCTTGCTCAGTAATATCTATGTAACTTTCTAACATTGTTTAGACTGCTGGGATGACTCTCTCTCTCTCACAATCACCCAGTTACCCAAGCCAAGCAAAGGTAAGTCTATGGTTGAGGAAAAGCTGGCTGAAGTTAAACCTCAGCAAGATAGATTGTGGGCAGAGGGAATTACTTCTTGGAGAACAACATCACCATTGCAAGCCCCTCTTTTTGAGGACACGTGCCCAATGATCATCAAGACAAGTTCGCACTTCAGGATTTCTTCTCTGCTTTCTATGAACGCTGGCCTCTTGAATTGTTGCATCCAGGAGAAACGCTTTTTACCACCTCCAGCTTGCCAGAATATTGCGTCCCAACTCTGATGACCTAGCCTTGATAATACACACCTTCATCAACTACTATTTGAATTATAACAATTCAATTTATCTGGGCTTCAAAGCATCAGCCCTATGAAACTGGTGTAGAATACAGCAGCATACCTACTCAGCAACATATTAATGACTGCATATCACACCGTTTTCTGTTCTTACACACACAGTTCTGTGATGATCCAGTGAAGCTTAAAGATCTCAGTCCTCATTTCCAAAATCTAAGTAGTCTGGGAGCAATTCATCCAAAAAACCCTGCTTCACCTTTCAGGATTTCAGGTGCCCTCAACAGTTTCATTTCTCAAAACAAGAAAGCTGTCCCTTACCAGAATAAAGCTTGCCGATGCAGAAGACATGATTTTTCTTGGGGGCTGCTCCTCTGAATGTGGAATTCTCTCCCACAGAAACTATGAGCTTCCACAAACCCTATCCACTTCCTAGTCCATAGGGAATGCACACTATTTTTTTAAAAACAATGTTTAATTATTTCCAGACAAATAAGCCTCTTAACTTACGTATACAAACCCACCTGCTATTTTCCTTTCCTCATGCCCATAGGAATATGATGGATGCTGGTCTCCTTGTCTACTCTAGAAGGCATTCTGCTACCATGAACATAAATAAAGCTTTATTCCAAATTATGTTCAAATTTCCTCTTGAGCTTTTTCAAGTTCTAGTTTATAACTAGTGTTGCAGCACGACACCCTATGGTCAACTATATAAGAACACAGTTGAAAAGATGCCATGCCACCAAGGAGGTATGGGTTCCATATAGAATAATCCACTGGAATTATTTCTTCCACTATTTAGATGATCTTCTTTCTCATTTAGAAGCATCAATGTATCATTTAGATGAAGAGAGAAGTCCTTCTTCTACTAAAACAGAACCATCAGTTTACTGAGAAAGCTCTAATAATCCATGTCCACACTTTTCAGTTCTCTTAAATCAAATGCCTTCTAAAACTCAAGGCCAGGATTATTAATCCAGATAAAACAATATTCTTGAACACAGCTGGATTTATATATTCCAGTTTTCAATATGCAGTTATTTAATCCAAGAGATGCACATTCCACAAGTACTAAATATGCCACTGGGCTAAACACAATGCTTGGAAGCCAGATTTCAAATTATCAATCTACTACACTTCAATAATCCATTTAATATATACAACTCATTTTCATCTATAAAATCAGGAATTCCAACTTTCTGAGCTTATTTTTCCAAGGACTCCATTTCATGTTCTCATTTAACAATATTCAGTATATCACAGCTAGAATAGAGCTAAAATAGTGTATTATCCATACATTTTTATTTCTACATCATTAGTTGTTTTGGTTTTTTGCCTTCAATCTTTAACCAAAACTTGACCTTTATTGCATATTAAACTACTACTTATCTTTTGCTAGTGCCACCCATTTCTTACCAAGCAAAGCCAACACTGGGTCAACACAGCAAATTCAGTAAGACATGCAACATGAAAACGACAGATCGTCTTACCATCTTGACTACCGGATTTTGAGAGCAGTGTGACACAAAATGTCACCCAGCAAAGTTTATTTTAATTACTCCTGGATATAATGAGCTCTCAAACATTCATGATTCACATAAACTTCCAAAAAAATTCATTAAGTGGAAAATCCAAACACCTCAAACATCCTTGGATCATTCACCTAGCTCTTAGTGATATTTTGTCCATTAACTTTTTTCTTTAAATATGTGTCTGACTAGGTAATACTCCCGTAACATTACTGTATTGGACCTGGGTACATCATGACGTTTCCTCCACTACTTTACAGCACATGAATCATGCAAACATGATCTGCTCTTCAACCAAAACTGCAGACTCTTCCTTCCAGTCAGTATAATGGTTACTACTGAAACACCGTTCAATTCAAATATCACATTATGAATCAAAGGAACACAATCAAAATTAGCATATTTGAAGTGTGTATCCAAAAATTATATAAAAATTAACAATTTCACTCCCTGAAAGAGAAAGGTGACCTAAGAATGAAAAACAAATTTCACTTTTTATCTGTCATATACAGAGAAAGGCTGAAAGGATTAAGAATTCCAAACGCACAACCTCCCCTTCCCCTGCTTAATATTTACACTAGAAAATCAGGTTGACTAGCCCAGAAAATATACAGGGAAGGCTGAAGAACTGAGGAAGGAATTTTCAAGTCAGACAGTTAAAGAAGGTATGGAAGCTTTAAGAAAAAAGTCTCTTCACCCATTTAAAATTTTCAGCATCTGATACATGGAGAGGAAATGAAATTAAAAATTTCCTGAGGAACTGCTATTTAAAGTTATAGATTTTTTATTATGGAGTGCATATTCCCTTAAGGTTACTCTCTGTATGATAACCTAAAAAGAACACCACCAGTTTCACTACATTAACTTTGGTTTCCTGCTATACACTAAACACGGAAGTCTCTCCCCAACTCAAAATGCAGCAATCCAGATAAGAGAGGAGGATGAGATTGTTTTAAAAACAAACTTCTAGGGCTCTCTACACAGGGAAATTGACAAGCTTTGCTATAATTTTAATGGATAAGTTATTCAATTATGCCAGAATAAGCTTGCTATATCGACACTCCATTCCATAATAAGAATCTCTCTTATTGCAGAATAGTATAGTGGAAGTTATTTTAGTATAGATATGCCTATCAGTTTCCCATATGCAGAGAAGACCTAAAGCAATTCTTACCTTACACATTAGCTAACGCTCATTTTCACATTACAAGACTGTATCACTAGAAGGTATCTGAAATCATCAAGAAGGGCTCTGCCTATTAATCCCTTCCACCATTCTAGAAATGTCATAAACAGAAGTACAGGTTAGGGAAGTACATCAACTTAGCCCAGACTCCATCAGTATACTGGTTACAAAGGAGATTTGGGTTTGGAATGAGCATGGTATCCCTCCCATCCGTGTTACCTGAAGTCTGACGGCCAGAGGACTTCACAGTCATTATGGAGTGCGCACAAGAGGCGGTACACTCTGAACAAGGCAGCCAACTAACTCAATCCTTTCAGCTTCCCTTTAACCTCTCTTCCTTCTCTGGATGATGGGGGTTTTAACTACTGTGAGTTTAAAAGAAAAACAAAAACAGATCAGGCAACAAGCATATGTTTGATGCTCAATCTTGCCACAGACCACAAGAGTGTTTTCCTGTTTCAGAATGTTCACAGATGTAGAGGTACTGTGTATCCCTTTTATTATCTAGCGCACACTCCACAGATGTAGAGGTACTGTGTATCCCTTTTATTATCTTGTTAGTTGCACACCCCATGCACTCTTCTATATTATTTCATGGCAGGAAAAGAGAGGGCAAGGGAAACAGGCAGGACAGAAGCAACAAGGAAGAAGAGAGCTTTGCCACTGCTATCGCCCCCACTTCAGGCAGGGTACCTAGGAAGCACCCTCGGCCTTACTTTCCAGCATTTTCTAGACTAACAGACCTACTGCACATGCTCACAACGTGCTCAGGACCAACATTCCAAACATTCTGAAACACAAGTCAACATTCCAGGCGTGGTCACTGCCCTGACTTACCTCAGAGGTAAATTTACCTACTGACCTTTCCCCTACTTTAGCTAGTTGCCTCAGCTGACCTTTTCCCTCCTTTTTCACTGCCCTGCCTCAGAAATAGCCTGTGACCTGCCTCTTCCAACCACGAGGTGACTCTTGCTTATTCAAAACAGAAGGCAAGAACTCATAAAAGAATCTAGGGAATTTCTCTAGAACCAGCCCCATTCTGGTACCCAGTGGGTGCCAGATACTCTTCAAGTCCCGAGGCTAATCCTATCCTATCCTATCGCCACGTGCACTCGGGCCATTGCACAGAACCCCCACAAACACACACTATCCCACCTCTAGAGCGAAGAGGAGTGGGCTCGTGCAGGATGGGGGCGCCTCACTAGACTACGTATGGGGGAGGAATACATGGAGCAGATACAACATGCGCTGGGGCAGGATGCTCTGGGCTAGGTGGGGTGTG